GATAGATAGATAGATAGATAGATAGATAGATAGATAGATAGATAGATAGATAGATAGATAGATAACTTTTCCTAGGATCAGAAAATTGATTTTTCAATTGCAATATTTTTTTTCAATAAATGTTTATTTTCAAACCATATGATAGTAACAATGCACTTTTCGAATTTCACCATAGAAATGTATGATAAGTCATGTGATCTACAAACTGCAGGTGATCACCGATTTGAAGGGGATGAATGGAAGCTGATTGCTGGAATCAGGAAATAAACTGAATAATGTAAATCTAGGCTGTCAAAACTGTTGATGGGTTAAGAAAACAAAGACGCAGATAGTTTACAAGGTCACAATACACAAAAATTTGAATGTCTACTATTATAAAAACAGTCGTCAACAACAACAACAATAATGATGATAAAAGCCCCACTGAACTTAAATCAATATTCAACACCTTGGTAGTACAGGGGTTTAAGAGCCTTGGTAGTACAGGGGTTTAAGGCACCCTGTTATTAAGCTGGTTATTAAGACCAGCTGCCTGCAATTACTGCAGGGTTCGAATCTCGCCAAGGCTCAAGGTTGACTCAGCCTTCCATCCTTTCTAAGGTAGGTGAAATGAGGACCCAGTTTGTGGGGGCAATAAGCTGACTTTGTATAAAATATACAAAAGGATGAAGGCTATTGTGAGCACATTGTAAGCCGCCCTGAGTCTTCGGAGAAGGGCGGCATATAAATCAAATTAAAAAAAAAACACAGTTCAACTGTTCAGCAGCAACATCAAAATGAATTTTGGACTTGAAAAATGTGCTACATTATCCATGCAGCAAGGAAAAATGGAAACAATAGAAAGAATAGAACTGGGAAATGGAAACATAGTGAAAGCATTAGCAAAGGATGATGGTTACAAATACCTAGGCATATTGGAAGCATATAATATCTTGAATGGCAAAGTCAAAGAGTCAATGCAAAAGGAATACATCAGGAGGGTCCGCAAAATATTAAAATCAAAGCTGAATGCTGGAAACATAATTAAAGCCATTAATACATGGGCAGTTCCAGTGATATGCATCAACTGGACTTTGGCTGAACTGGAAAACCTGGACCAGAAAACGTGCAAACTTTTGAATATGTACCATGCTTTACATCCACGAAGTGAGATCGACAGGTTGTACCCAGTGATGGGTTGCTCCCAGTTCTGTCCAATTCTTTAGAACTGGTAGTAAAAGTAGCAGGAGGCTCCACCCACCCTCCCGGACGTCATAATTGACGATCTGCGCATCCGCAGAAGTGCAAGTGCACGCTCCTGTTGCAAACCAGTAGTAAAGATAAGTAGAACCCCCTGGTTGTACTTGCTAAGAAAAATAGGGGGCAGAGGACTATTGCAAATCCATCACATGAAGAAGAAAAACGAAGTTTGAATGGTTATGTGAACCAAAGTACAAAAAAATTGCTGCAGGCTGTGAAAACGGAGAACATTATAAAAACAACAGAAACAGAAAGGAAGAATATAAGGAAAAACAGCTGGATGACAGATTAAATAGATGGAAAACCAAAGCTTTGCATGGACAGCACTTGAAAAACATTGAAGGAAAATGTGATGACAACTTTACATGGGCATGGCTTAAGATGGGAACCATCAAGAAAGAAACGGAAGGTTTCATACTCGCTGCACAAGAGCAAGCACTACAAACTAATGCCATGAAAGCAAAGATACAAAAATCCACCGACAATCCAAACTGCCAATTTTGGAACAACAAAGTCGAAACTGTTTCACATTTAATATGTGAATGCAGCAAAATCACACAAACTGATTACAAAGCTAGACACCACCGAGTTGCTAAATTAATCCACTGGTCATTATGTAAAAAATACGACTTACCTGTATCCAAAAAGTCATCGGAATATAAAGTGGAAAAAGTTATAGAAAATGAGAAGATGAAGATCTTGTGTGACTTTCAAATACAGACGGATCGTCATTTGGAACACAACATGCCAGATATCACAGTTGTTGAAAACCGAAACGTACAATTTATTGACATTGCTGTACCAGGAGATGCCAGAGTCGAAGAAAAAGAACTGGAAAAAATCACAAAGTATTGCAACCTGGCAATTGAAACTACATGGTTATGGATGAAACATGTAACAGTGATACCCATTGTCATCGGGGCACTTGGTACCATGTCCAAGAATTTTATAAGATACATCAACAAATTGCAGCTTCCTGCAATAACACCAGCGGAACTGCAAAAAACTGTGCTACTTGGAACATCGTACACCTTAAGAAGGTACTTGGTTGATACCTAGGATGCTGGCAGCAACCTGTATCAACCATTAGCAACCAGTCAATGGTATTTGTGATACATTTTTGAATGTTCAGTTGACTGAGTTTCATGTTTAATGAATAAAGTATATAATAATAGATTAGTAAAAATGCCAAATCCAGTTTAAACATCTGGCTGACTGTGTGATAAACCTTAATAAAAAAAAAACAAGCCTTCAAAAAGCTGGACAAAATAAAATTGTTGGGGGGGAATATGCTGATTCTGTAAACCACTTATAAGGGACTGTAAAGCACTATGAATTGGTATATAAATTTAAATGCTATTGCTATTACTTTGGGCTTCGTTGAGCTTCAGCTCTCAGCTTCTGAATGGAGCCAGTCCCAGGTCTTCAGTTAGTTCTTCCTTGAGTGAAAAGTGGGTAGGCACACTAATAGTTTGGAGCAGAGGTGGGTTTCAGCAGGTTCTGACCAGTTCTGGAGAACCGGTAACAGAAATTTTGAGTAGTTCGGAGAACCTAGTAGTAGAAATTCTGAAAGGCCCTGCCCCCATCTATTCTCTGCCTCCCAAGTCCCAGCTGATCAGGAAGAAATGGGGATTTTGCAGTAACCTTCTCCTGGAGTGGGTTGGGAATGGAGATTTTACAGTCTCCTTTCTCTGCCATGCCCACAAGCCACGCTCACTAAGAACTGGTAGTAAAAAATTTTGAAACCTGGTTTGGAGTATCGTGGTTGATGAAAAGGACAACATAATAGAACATGCAAAACTGCCTCCATCACCCCAACTGGGCAAGGTCACAGCCTGTCTTGTGTTGGCATATTGTTGGCACTTTCTTCCAAGAGCACGGAGGACAAGGCAAGGAGAGTGACAAATGGAAATGCGCTTCTGTGAGGGGAAAAAAAGGTTACTTTTAAAAAAAGTAATTTGGAAAGCAAAAATATCTACCACAGAGGTTGCCACAGCAGTAAAAATTCTATGCTCTAAGACTGACCCCCTCAAGTCCTGACATTCTCAAATTTTACCAATAATCTGCAATATTCAGGTACAAGGTTGGACTCCCAACCTTGAAGTAAACTTGTCTATGGAGATTCTCAGTCATCCAGGTCATGATTGTCCCAAAAGTGCTTTTTCAAAAGACACCTGGATTTTGTTTTTCCTTGAAGAGGTTTCACTTCTCCTCCAAGAAGCTTCTTCAGTTCTGGACAAATTCTGAAGAAGCTTCTTGGATGAGAAGCGAAACGTCTTCAAGGAAAAACAAAGTCCAGGTGCCTTTTGAAAAAGAATCTTTGGGACAAGAAGTAAACTTATTGTTTAGTATTAATGTGACCAGGGAACCAATAAATGTAATCCAATACTAGTAATCCAATATTTTACTCAGCAATATCTGTTGTGACCCTGCACAAAGGGTAAGGCCTAGTTCCATTGATGAATGGTAATGACACAATAAGGAATATGCAACATATTGTGTTGCTCCCTTAGGTTTTTTTTTTTTAATTATTTTGTTTATTTGATTTATATGCCGCCCTTCTCCGCAGACTCAGGGCGGCTTACAATGCGTTAAGCAATAGCCTTCATACTTTTGTATATTTTATACAAAGTCAGCTTATTGCCCCCACAATCTGGGTCCTCATTTTACCTACCTTAGAAAGGATGGAAGGCTGAGTCAACCTTGAGCCTGGTGAGATTTGAACTTGCAGTAATTGCAAGCAGCTGATGTTAATAACAGTGCTTTAATCTGCTGAGCTACCAGGGCTCTTTTTGTGTTTATAAAGACAAAATTGAGCTCTATTAAGCAGAAGCTTCAGTATTCCAACCCTGAATAATTTAATGATACCTGGGACAAAATTGCTGCCATTGCACCTAGTACACTAAATTACAGCATTGGAAATTCTCTGGCCTTGAGCTGGGGCTGGGCTCATACAATACATTCAGCCAAAGTCAGAACCAACTAAAGCATGTCATTGATTTCTGGGTTGGGTAAACTCCACCTCTTTCTTATTCTCCATTCAAGAAATAATTTCTTCTGGAAATCATTCGCAAGTCATAAGAGGGATTGCGTGGCTCTCCACATGGATTGTGCCAAAGGGATGAAGAAAACATCTCCTTGTAATGGAAGAAGCTCTTGCGTGAATCTGCCTGCAATGTCCTCATAAAGCTGATGTCAGACATATTGTTATCTTTATCTGGAAGTCTATCGTTATGGGTTATGACAGCCTCATATCATTTATTTTGGTCCTTATTATAACAGAGCAGCTTCTTTAGGCATGAAGCTCCAAACTCCCTCCCTTCCCTGCAGGTATCTTTAGACTAATTGCAATTTTTCTCTAAACAACCCTTATGATCTAGCTGGTGTTATTGCAATAAGTAAGTTCTAACTGCAGTTCTGAACAGCCAGAGTAATGAACAGTATGTTGAGTAAGTTCACAATGTTTTTTTTTAATTTTGCCACAGATCATATAAGGAATGGTGTGACGTTAGTTCTTTTCAGATAAACGCACTGAATGGGTGGTTATTGTTCTAGAATGAATCCATGTTGGTGGAAACTAACTTAAATATGTAAATTTGCTTTGTCTCATTCACGTATCACCCTGACGCAAAATTGTAAGGCCTGGTTTAATACTATAATTGGTCGAAGAGAGGACATTGCACATGATTGGATGGATTGAGACATCATTCTACACTTAAGACAAGTTGTGTGGTTTGACATTTTATGATGTTTGAATTCAACTATTAGAGTTTGTAATTCATAGCTTACCTAAGCACTATTGTTTACATTAAACAAACCAGAAAATAACTAAGGTAGGGGAAGAACGTTTCTAAAAAAAATTTTTCAACCTTCTTGCTGGCACTGTCCATAAAAGCCATATTATTTTCTCCTGACTAATGTTACATCTATGTGTGTGTGAGAAAAAGAGAGCATTTTCACCCCAGAGACTAATCACATGTGCAAATGTGTATGTTTAATCAGGACAGGTGCATATATGTTGCCTCTTTGTGTGTGTGAGAGAGAGAGAGACAGTATAATCAGGATGGATGCCTATGTGTTGCCTATATGTGTATTCTTATGCTTTCTATTCATGTTTTATTTAAATACTGTGTTTCCCCAAAAATAAGACCCTGTCTTATATCTTTTTGAACCCTGAAATAAGTGCTTGGCCTTATTGCCATGCACTCAAAAGCCCGATTGGGCTTATTAACAGGGGATGTCTTATTTTGGGGAAAACAGGGTAGTTTGTGTGTATATGTGCACTAGGAAGCATAAGGAAGGTTGTTTAAATCTCATGTTTAGGAAGAAGGAGACAGGGAGGCTTAGGTGATAGATACGGCACCACTGCCCTATTGCTTCTAACACAGAGATATTTGTGGGATACTTGTCAGGATTTTCTTATTCACCCTTTGGATAATTTAAGCCCATTTTAACACAATCATTATTTTGCTGGCGCATACCAGTTTTTATCCTAGTGATGGAGACACAGATAAACAGAGCCCAACTCCATTGACTTAATTTTTTTTCTAACATTCGATTGGTTCAAAAAACTAAAGAATGGAGTCCAGCTATCAATTTATTAAATTTGCTTCTACTTTGTTGGTGGGCCTTAGTAAGAAGTTCTAAAACTGGAGTGGCCAAGGGCCAGCATATTTTAAGTCACCCTTCCAAACCTGGTGTTCTCCAGATGTCCTGGACTATGACTCATGCTGGCCATACTGTCTGGAGATTGTTATAATCTCTGTTGAGAGATGTGGCACCACAGATTACAACTTTTTCTGTGATTGCATTCCACATGATAGTTATATTAGTCCAAGGTAATCCTCCTCCATTACTTTTCACCAGCAAATGAAAACCATTCTCATTCTGCCTACATTTTTACCAACTTACTAATTAGATTTGCTATCTTCTTTGTTAAGACTGCTTTCCTTTGAACTGGAATGTTACACTTTGTTATTTTAGTTCACCCTTCCCCAACCAGGTGTCTTCCAGATGTATCAAGCTTTCACATAAATATGCCTCTGATTGCTCTTGTGTCTCACGGACATGAATTCACAAGAGTTTATGCTACAATAAATCAATTCAACCATAAATGGACCAAAATGCTTTTTTCTTGTATTTACTGAGACAGGCTAACAGGGCCCTCTTACAAATGTGAAGGTTTAAGAGCTGGGGGGGCGGGGATGAGATGAAAAGTGCAAGTTAGAAACCAGTGAAACTGCTCTTATTATTTCACTGAGCTATCTAAACAATTCTTCTCTTTACAATGGAGAGATGATGTTTTGATGGACAAGACCCCACTTTACTTGGGGACAAGCATGGAATGGGTTTGGCAACAATATAAAGCAGTGTGATTTTCTGGTGTGGAGGGTGACTTTTTAAGGCTAGACTTCTTGGATTTTTAAATGTGTTATATACCTTCTAGATCTTAAAATGGTAAAAGATTTGATTTTTCCCTGGGAAAGGAAAACTAATGCTAGACCAATTCCCGAATACAGCTCATCTGTCTGGAACCCGCACTGAATATCGGACATTAATACAATTGAGCGAGTCCAGAGATATTGCACAAGAAGAGTCCTCCACTCCTCCACTCGCAACAGAATACCTTATGCCACCCAGGCTTGAAATTTTGGGCTTAGACAACTTAGAACTACACTGTCTTTGGTCTGACCTAAGCGTAGTGTCCTACCTGTCAATGACTACTTCAGCTTCAACCACAACAATACACGAGCACACAATAGATACAAACTTAAGATAAACCGCTCCAAACTCAATTGCAGGAAATACGACTTCAGTAACAGAGTGGTCAATGCCTGGAATGCACTACCTGACTCTGTGGTTCCTTCCCCAAACCCCCAAGCCTTTAACCTTAGACTGTCTACTGTTGACCTCACCCATTCCTAAGAGGTCTGTAAGGGGCATGCATAAGCGCACCTACGTGCCTACTGTCCCTGTCCTAATGTCCCCATTTATTCATATCCATTTCATGAATTCATAATCATGTTGATACTTATATCTGTTATCTTATACATGCTTGACAAAATAAATACATAAATAAATACATAAATAAAAAATAAAAAATATATATAAAGTGGCAAGACTCACCTGAAAACAGGTCAAAAAAGTAGGCTATTCGTCTTTTTCTGCTTTTTTCCCCTCTGTCTGATTTTTTAATTATAGATAGTGTTAATCCTCAGTACATTGTTATTATAGAGATGTTTACCAATGCAATCCCATAAAGTGAAAGATGCCCTTAAATGCCCATCTGCTTCCACTGAGGAACACCGATAGAAGCAGAATTGCTTGGTGTGCTGTGCGCAGGCAGCTGCTGCACCATTAGACAGAATGAGGTAGCCAACTCTAATTTCTAGCCAACTCTAATTTCTAGAACTAGTCCTTTCTAGTTCTAAAAAGGACTAGTGTGATGAAATCATTCAAAATGTCAGTGATCCCAGGCAAGAGTGAAAATCTCAGAAGTTTATATGTGCCATCAAGTCATTTTTCAACTCCTAGTGACCACATAGATTTTCTCATGATCATCCATCCCTAACTTTTTCCCCCATTTATGTGCCTCCTCCTCTTTCTTTTTAGACACTTGGTCTCTAATGCATTGTACACCACATATAATTAAACTTTGGAATTTGCTACCACTAGATGTGGTGCTGGCTACCAGCTTGGCTGGTATCAATAAAGGGTTGAACCAATTATTGGAGGTCATGGGGATCAATGGCTATTAAATGGCACTGTGACTTCTTTTGAAGGCCATCTGCTGGGAGATTAGTGGGCTTCCATGTGCAGTTGGTCAGTCATTTTGAGAATGACTTATCTACTCGGTTTGCTAGACTAGATGAGTCAGAGGCAGGGGTGATATGTAAAATTTCACCCTTGGTGGGGGGTAATATGACTGGGTGGGCAAGGCCAACTCTATTTTTTTAGTTTTAAAAGCATTTTTTTCTACAACCACTTCACCCGAATCTGATGATTGCGTGGCTCAGCTGGGCATGGGGGGGGCAGAGATTTTTGCTACCAGTTCTCCGAACCACCCACCGCCATCACTACCAGATCAGGTGATCCGGTCTGAACCGAGAGCATTTCACCCCTGGTCAGAGGTCCGATCTAGCAGGGCACTGCATTTATTCATATGTTGTCTCATAAATCCAGTGAGGACCAGTGCTCAAAGGCTTATATCCTAATGCCTTTTGGTCTTCAAGACAATAATCTTTATGTTGTGTAGAGCAATGCCTGGGTTAGGAACCTCATAAGGGCAAAACTTTGCCTCGCTGTAGAATTTTATTCAGTTCACTTCTGCACTTGGATTGTTCAAACTGTATGGATTAATTCTAAATCTACGAGAGCTTTAGTCATTACCATTTCTGAATTTATAGATCAATGACTCCATCTATTATTTGACAATCCTCAGTTGAAAATTAGTTTCAGTTTATAAGTAAATTGAAGTTTATGCAAATACTATGATGAAATAAATTATAGAAACAGGAAGTTATATAATCAGCAACATATATTAATAAAACAACTCAGAGATAAAGCTATGTTTTGCAAGAGTGTTGGTGACTTTGTTCACAGGACTCGTTTTAAAATGTTGTCTCTTAGATTAAATGGGAGGAAGAGCTATTAGACATCTGTATATAAGATGAGCAACGTAATCTAGATGGGCCATGCAGACATTTCAGTTCCTGGAAAAGCTAATGATACAGCACTTATCTAAATGTTAAGTATTTCAGCTCAGCATCTGACTCTCACCACCCTGAAAAAAGATATTGTGTGCTCATTTATGTGGCCTTGTAAAAAAAAAAAATCAAATCTAAACATTTATTTTTTTCTAAAAAAAGAATGTTTGAATAAAATGGACAATATATCATTAGAGGAAACACTACTGTACAGGCCTTGCCAATTTGTTGTTAGACTTACCAACAAATATCCCCTGGTGGCATATTTTCATGCAATGTCTATGATGCTGCCCAGTGGTGGGTTGCCTCCGGTTCAGACCGGTTCTATAGAACCGGTAGTAAAACCGGAGGGAGGCTCTGCCACTGACCACGAACGCCTCTGTGCATGTGCAGAAGAGCATGCGCACAGCCCCGTTGTGAACCAGTAGTAAAGGTGAGTAGAACCCATCCGATGCTGCCTTCAAGGCATACATTGAATACCCTCAAATGTTTGTAAGGATATGGCATATCCAACTTATATTACAGCTTTATTTTGACAGTGTGCAGCTTCCATATGTGGAAAAATATATCTGGTTTTGGCACTGGTTATCTGAAAGAACTATCAGATGACTGGCAATAACTTGGAAGAAAAGTGACAAAGGCCAGGGATCAGCAAATTTTTTGCCAGTATAGTTTTCTGCCAACTTACAAATAGGTGGGAGGAACTCATCGATCAATGTTCCTCAATGCTATGTCTTCCAAGATGCATTGGAACTGTGAATCCCCAAATTCCAAGATAGTATGGATAAACCTTGGAATTCTGGGAGTTAAAGACCCAGCATGTCTTCAGGGTTCCAGTTTGGGGAAGGCTAGAACAAAGAGGTTTCAGGTTGTATATTTCTACTCATTCCACTTAAGAAAAAAACCCATAAAACTAGCAAAAAAAGGGCCATCACTTGGTGAAGATTCATGCATAAATATTTTCTTGTGTGGTGGGGTGAGATCTACAGTAGACAGTCTAAGGTTAAAGTTTTGGGGATTTGGGGAAGAAACCACAGGTAGTGCATTCCAGGCGTTGACAATTCTGCTACTGAAAAGTCGTATTTTCTGCAGTCTAGTTTGGAGCGGTTTACCATGAGTTTATATCTATTGTGTGCTCGTGTATTGTTTTGGTTGAAGCTGAAGTATTCATTGGCTGGTAGGACATTGTAGCAGATGATTTCATGTACTATGCTTAGGTCAGACCGAAGGCGGCGTAGTTCTAAATTGTCTAAGCCCAAAATTTCGAGTCTGGTGGCATAAGGTATTTTGTTGCGAGCAGAGGAGTGGAGGACTCTTCTTGTGAAATATCTCTGGACTTGTTCGAGACTCCTGAGGAGCTAAGACTCCTCAGAAAAGCTTCCGAAGGCAAAAGTTAGTGATACTGGATAACAGACTGGCTTAATCTGCATCAGTCTCACATACATTCAGACAATACCTTACAGAGCATTTAATCCAGGGGTTTTAGACCATAAGGAAAAGTTAAAAGATTTGGGGCCACTAGCTTCCCACAAATAAACTGGTATTGCATCATCACAACAGATACATTTATGTCTCACAGTATAAAATTTTAGTATCAATAAAATCAATATTCATCATGAAGTCAATTCTAGAAAAATTGGGGAAAAACTGGGGAAGAGAAGGATCATGGGTGAGCAATTCTGAATCCAGGCACAGTGGGATCAAAATGCCTTTATTTACTTATTTATTTATAAAAGTTATAAAGATTTAGAGGCCAACTCCAAAACTCTCAGCAGCCTACATTTTTTAAAAAAAAAGTAATAAAAAGGAATTCCCATACATTCAGTTCAGTAACATTGAAGGCTGAAGGACAAAATGAGTAGCAGCATGGAATGGTTTAGACTTTAGAATGTATGTCCTGACAGTGTCCCTCACTTGAAATAACTATTTTAATGGGTCCATAGAAAAAGGACAGGAAAAGATTATTTAACAACATATAATTAACCTACAAACTATAGCTGCAAGATGCAGCAATGTCCAGTGGAAATGGCAGCTTTAAAACCTATTAGATTCATGAAGTGTTGAAAGGGCCTAGTAGCTCAGCAGACTTATAGCATTGTGATTAACACCAGCTGTCTGCAATTACTGTAAGTTCGAATCTCACCAGGCCCAAGGTCGACTCAGCCTTCCATCCTTTCTAAGGTAGGTAAATTGAGGACCCAGTTTGTGGGGGCAATAAGCTGACTTTGTATAAATATACAAAAGTATGAAGGCTATTGCTTAACGCATTGTAAGCCACCCTGAGTCTCCGGAGAAGGGCGGCATATAAATCAAATTAAAAAATAATTAAAAAAATGTCTGTGGCTTTTATTCACATTACTAAGAAAGAAAGAATATGAATGAGTTGGCTGTGAATTCTTTAGCTGGCTTCTGGCTGGCTATAGGTAGACACAGGATGCTGAGCGAGATGGACTTTGATCTGCTTTAGCAAAGTTTTTAAATATATACTTACAATAAACATTAACATCAGCAGTACATCGATCCATTTGTTAATTTTTTAACTATATTTTTTCAAATGTTTAATAGTTTTTAGTGCTTATCAAGATAGGTCAGGTTCCAAGGAATAATCTGCATGATCAAATATAAGGAGAAACCATTTAGTATTGCTTTTAATCCAAATCTTCACATAATTTCCAAATTGCCTGTGACTTGTCAAGCCCTCTCTTTTCTATCATTAGTCCCCACTAATCTAGTTAAGTGAACAGAGAGAAAATACAATAACATAAATGAAGCACAACCAACAAATGGGTCACTGAATACTGCTGGCATGGGCTAAAGAGATGGGAAGATGTTTGTGGTTTAACAGGTCCAAACATGTAAGGACATGCTGGCTAGCCATTATTGATTCTCAAGAGCTTACAACACTGATCTGGGGTGTGTGTGATATTGCACTTTACTGAAGTAAAAAGCTTACACCCTGAAGACTATTTGTACCTACTCAATAACATGATATTGCTGACTTTTCTCTCTTATGCACTAATGCCAACTTCTTGTTGTTGACTGTCTTGATAGCAATGTTTTATTTTAAATTGTTCAACTCACTTTGACTCAATGGCTTAAGGCGATCTGAAGTTGCTGAAATATTATTTCCACTTAAAAAAGGCTAGATAATAAATTCAGATGACAGGCACTAGCTTATGTGTCGGCCTAACAGCATTGATAACACATGTTCCCCAACATTCTTTCTGAACAATTTCACATCATTTGGAAGGGCCTGTCAAATATTGCCAGCAAGGATGTACATTTTGCATGTGTGAAAAGGCTAGTGCAGCTTGCCTCCTCTACAAACTTTCTCTGTTCTGACTGTCAATGCAAATTGGAGAACTAACAGTGTAAAATAGAAATGAGCACTCCATAACCTGTGAGATGCATTCAGTATTCTGCGTACCCACATCCCCATCATTCATCTTTGTAGTTTTCTGCTGTTTTAGCAATGTTTTGTAATTATTTTAGAACAGAAGTGGGCTGTATGATACATTTTATACCTCCTAATTTAACCATCGCATTCAATAGAGGGCATCCCAGTGACAAAGAAGAAAGCAGCCCAAAGAATTCCAGAGGAATTTGCTGAAAAACCCTCTTCCCATTTCTTTTTTCCAAAGGTCTAATTCCTTTTATGAACAGCTGAGTTCATTAAATAATTGTATTTTATTATTCTAATTGACTTTGCTTGTTTATTGGATGGATTAGAAATATAGTAAATATTGAGAAGAAATAATTATCTTTCTTGAGAAAGACAAATTTGGATCTAGTTTCATTTCAGTTAGAGAGGAATACTTATTGTTAGCCTGGTATTAAAGATTTAATTAGTCTCAGATAAAACTGTATACACATTCCTTACCTTTATCTGTTAATACGCTACTTTCTCCTCTTGTCAACAGGAAATCTGATCAGATCTTGTTTCGAGGTACCTCCCACCGAAAAGGAGTATCTAGTCCATGTACAAGCCAAATGAAGAAAGAGAACTGATTGAAGGAATCATTAATCTAGTTAACACACCTAAGATTGGTACAGGATTATTGCAAAATCAGATTAGCAAAAATACTGTGTGGGAGAACAGAGAAGATCTACCTATTCAGATTCTTGCCGTAGGCTAACTTGGGCTACAAGAGAACCATCTCAGTTCCTCAAGATGGCTTAATTCTGAAATAAAATATGATCCTTTATAACTTACTATTCAAACATTAAGCCAAAGCAAGTCCAAAAGTAATGAAAGTCCCAAAGGTGTTTTTTTCTAAAGGGGAACTGGACTTTCTTGGTTTTTTCTTTGAAAACATTTTGCTTCTAAGAAGCTTCTTCTGAACGTTTTCAAAGAAAAAACCAAGAAAGTTGAGTTGGCTTTTGGAAAATGCATCTTTGCGACAGCTATGAACTGGATGATTGAGAATTTCCATAGATATAAAGTAATGGAAATGTTTATAAGGCATTTGCTAGCATTTGCTTTCAAGTGGCATTGCTAATTTCCTCAGTCCTGTTCCTTAGAAATATTTCGTTTCTTAAATAAATGTTACTTTGGTGGAATTTCTGGACATCTTGCCCCTTCTGCAATTCACTAAAATAAATTATAATAGCACAATCAAGAGAAATATAGGACTTTGGCATTGTTCCTTTGTTTCTGCATTGGTATTATCCTTGGAAAGTCAAGCCGATTTTCTTCCATCTCTGTGGACCAAAATCTCAAACATTTCCATTGTATCTGAATCAGTTGAACTCCAAAAGACTCTGCAGTGTTTTCATTGGTAGAACTTCCATCAATGCCCACTTATCAGCTTTGCCATTCCCTGTCTCCCCTTATCTCTTTCCACTGCACTTGCCCTGGGCTCTTTTGATTGGTCTTTCCCTATTCCCCTTTTCTTTTCTAATATCTTTCCAATAGGTCTTTTCTGGCTGATGGATGGGACCAGCTTATTCTCCTCCATGTATGAGTTCCTTGAACCTCCTTAGTTCTCCAACCAGACTGCAAACCAAGAGCAACTGCTAGTTGGATTCATGCATTCTTTCTGTCAGGGAATGTCTATGGAGATTCTCAGTCATCCAGGTCATGGTTGTCCCAAAGATGCTTTTTTTCAAGAGATAACTGGATTTTCTAGTTTTCCTTTCAAGATGTTTCACTTCTCATCCAAGAAACTTCTTCAGCCAGAAAGTCTGTCAGGGAAGAAACTAGCAACTGTTTCCTCTCCAAATGGGAGTCAGCTGGTCCTCATTTTGTTTGATATCCTTGCATATATTCAACATTGAGAAAAATCTTCAGGATAATTCTAGTTTTTGAAGTTAAGTTTATCAAAGAAAATGCAACTATATTACAATGGTCTGCTAATGTTTGCATCTTAACAAAATTTCATTTTATCAGATTAATGCACGTTTTATAAGATATCAGCAGTGGTGGGATTCAAATTTTTTTACTATCCGTTCGGTGGGTGTGGCTTGGTGGGCGTGGCATGGCTTGGTGGGCGTGGCTTGGTGGGCGTGGCAGGGGAAGGATACTGTAAAATCTCCATTCCCTCCCCACTCCAGGGGAAGGATACTGTAAAATCTCCATTCCCTCCCCACTCCAGGGGAAGGATACTGCAAAATCCCCATTTCCTCCTGATCAGCTGGGACTCAGAGAATAGTTGGGGGTAGGGCCAGTCAGAGGTGATATTTACAGTTCTCCGAACTACTCAAAATTTCCACTACCAGTTTCTCAGAACTGGTCAAAATCTGCTGAAACCCACCTCTGGATATCAGGATATGTTGTGCTCAACAGTTCTCATCCCACCCCAAATTAGGTTTTTCGGCTTGCCCAGCTGGTCTTCACACTATAGAACTCATTTACTTCCTCCGCCCATGATCAGATAGGAGTCTGTGGGTGTAATTGCTACTTTCCATGTTATTCATTTTATTGTTTATCACAGTTGTACGTATTTTGATTTCCAGAAAAGCTTCATTTTTTCCATAAATATGTGAACACAACCTCAATGTCCTTTCTTGGCTCAGAAAGTATCATTTGTCTTTCATGGAACTTAGGCCATACTAATTGCATTCATAAAATAATTGTGAAAAAGATGGAACAGATTCCCCCCGCCCATATCTCCACTTGTCGTTAATTCTTGTCATTAAAGCTTTTAAACTTTACTGTTTTAGCAAAGCATATATAGACATTTTTATTATTGAGGGGTCCTTGGTGCTCCCTGAGTTTGCTTGTTTTCTTGCAGACGCTTCATTACCCTAACTAGATAACATCATGAGTTATCTGGTAAGGAATGCTGTTTCTCCTTTATTGATTTGTATTATTATTAATTCTACCTTTCATTCAAGTTCTCTATCTTACTCTCCTAAAAACCCTGTGAAGTAAAGTAGGCTAACAGAGTCACCTAACTGATTGCCCATAGCCAAACAGGAATTTACACTAGGATGTCAGCCCTTTCAGGTAGATCAGATCTGGAACTGATTCCACATGATGATAACAACTATACGCTATTGAAATAGGTATAGTAAACTTCCTTTTTACAATCCAGTAATCCCTTAATTGTGTTAGAGTTGGAGCATATGGATGGAACTGAGCATTTATTGGCCGGATTCCCTTCCTGACACCACACAGAGTTCGCAGCAAAAAAGTTTCTTTGCACCCTAGGAGAGAAACACCTGCTGCCACTGTCTAGGATTGAACTCTCAACCTTCCAAGTGGGAGATAAGCGTTTTCACTACTAGGCCACCACATCGCTCATGTTTAGATAGGTACAGTATAATAATAGAATTTTTCAAGCATGATTGTGCTTTAGATTTCCTCCCTCTTATATCCCAGTGGCTCAGGGAAGAGCCTGTCTGAATCTCCACCAAATAACTGTCCTGTTTCCCAGGATTTAAGGAATGATTCAGCCCTTTTTGCTTATAGAAATCTTGCCTATTTCCTTCAAGGTCACCTCCCTGATTCTCTGCCTAGGATCTCCCTGATCCTTTGTTCAAAACTATACATTTTCAGAAATTACAACATGTCCAAATAAAACAGCAAGGAGTTTGCTTCTTTCCAAATGTCTCTTTCTTTCTTTCTTTCTTACTTACTTACTTACTTACTTATTTATTAAATTCATGTGCCCCTCTTACCTAGAAGTGAACACATCGAAATCATCTCCTCCCAGAAAGTGGCAGAATAGGACAAATTTACTTTTTATCATACACTCACACACAGCGACACTGTACTTTGTCATAAATGGCAACACCTTGCTAATATGGCATCTGAATATGAATCTAACTGTTCACCAAATTATGCTAATGAAGTATTTGCTACCCAGACTTGCCATTTTTTTAAAAAAAAAAGCATCTTTATATCAAAATTTTGCTACAGATAGAATGTATTTAATTTGGTGAACAGTTACATTCATATTTAGATGCCATATTAACCAGCTGTTGCCAATTATGAACAAAATGCTATGTACAGGTAGTCCTCGACTTATGACCACAATTGAGCCCAAAATTTCTGTTAATTTTGTTAATGTTAATTTTGCCCCGTTTTACGACCTTTCATGCCTCAGTTGTTAAGCGAATCACTGCAGCTGATAAGCTAGTAACCTAGTTGTTAAGTGAATCTGGCTTTCCCATTGACTTTGCTTTTCAAAAGGTCTCAAAAGGTGATCACATGATCTTGGGACACAGCAATGGTCATAAATATGAATCAGGTGCCAAACGTCTGCATTTCTGTGAAAAACAGAAATCATCTACCTGTATTGAGAATACAGTGACTGATTGAGAATACACCCCTCCTTTTAGTATTAAGTGGTTAAACAGGAAGTACGTTTTATAGCTCACCTCTGGAATGTCATGGATTTCTTGACTGGTAATGGAAGAGTCTTTAGGAAATGTTTCATTACTCTTACAAGTATACTCGGTGTGTATGAAATATAGAGAGAGCAAGAGTGAGTCAACAGATGACAGCAGCTGAGCAGGAAGACAAGGCTTCTAGGTCCCAAGGGTGTGTCCAGTCACCCGACCGGTTAGATCACATATTACCTAAAACCCTGGGAGGAAGTTAGTTCCCATGAAGACAAGGGTCTAAGGATAGTGGTGAATGCCAGGTAGGATGTGGGCAAGGATTACTCAGTCTCATGATGAGAAACCATCATAATTTGGTTTTCGCTATTCTCACTCATGCCTCAGCTTTCACTGCTGATGAAAGTTAGATAATAGCGCTCATCAGTTTTAATGAGCATGTGTCTCCACTGACCTGGGAACAAAACAGATCTCTCTCCCACAGAGAAAGTATTCAGGCTCTCACAGCCTGATCAGACCTGATCCTTTCCTGGTGTGAAATGGATAGATCAACATGAGACCTGCTAGCTCAGCTTATTGCAAGGGAGAAAGGAGATGATACTGTGTACCTATCTAGCTATCTAGCTACCCACGTATCTATTACTTTCCTACTTATCTACCTATTTACCTTCTCTTTCTCTCCCCTTCTGAATTGCTAAGGAACATGTGCATAATTGCAGAAATTTGATAAGCTACCACTAAGAGTTGGGAGACATTGGAAATCCTGAGGAAAACCTGGAAACCTGCTCCTCTGCCAATTGCCAGGAATCTCCACCAAAAGTTTTGGAACATTGGCAGGGGGGGCACGGGGGGGCAGGGGGTGAAAATGTGCAACTCAATTGATAGGAGTTAATCTATACAGTGACCACATGTAGAAGCTGTTGTATCTGATAGAGAGGAATAGCCAAAGTTGCTGATTATATGTTGCCTTAAATATTAAGATGCCGACAAAAGGAAGAGTAATAATAGATAAAAAAAAATTTCAAGCTGTAGATTGTATCTATCTCTAAGTTATCAATGTATCCATGGACATGCACACACATGTACATGCCTTAGACACTCCTGAAGGAAATAGCAAACATTCAGCTACCAAGTTTTCCTACACATAAGCCAACGCATAAGATGCATAAATAGAGGGATAGAATCAA